GGGGGGGGGGGGGGTGATGTAAGTTGCATACCTCACACAGGTACATGGACGCCTCTCCTTGCGAGACCTTGTCACCCCGCCGTATGTGCAGGCCCAGGAACGGGGATTCCTGGAACACGTCCGAGGGCGAGGCGCGCGTGACGAAGTCGACGTCGGCCTGGAGCCACGGGGTGACGTTGCTCCACAAGTACTTGGCCATGGCCTGCGTCCGTCATCGTGTGTTTTTTTTCGCGAGCGAGTGTCAGCTTTCGGTGGGGGGGCGGGATGCCGTGAACGTGGGGGGTGGGCGGGATCTTAGGCGCGTCTACAACTGTTGTTGAACATAAAACCGAGAGGTGTCGGGTGCGTGCTTTCTTGTTCGTGTCATATGAGTACCTCAAAGTCCATCCGAATAAGAAAAAAAGTGGTAGTGGCTAGGTAACTTTGCGCTCGCAGGCTACAATATTATCTGCATCTTCGTTTGAAATGTTTCGCTCGGCTGGAGACCTCTGGCCCGGGATCACAAAGACCCGTCCCTCTGCGGTGTGCGTGGCTTTGTTTCTATGGTAGCGAGATCTTGACCCGCTGGTTCCCTTTTTCCGGGGCGGGGNGGGGGGGGGGGGGGGGGGGGTAACACCCCGAGCGAACCCGTTCTTCGACTGACGGCAAGAACAGGCGGGCCACCAACAACAACACGCGTTGCGCTGTTCTGGTCCTGCTCTGACTTGGTGACGCCGGCCGCTGTCATATGCGCTTGATGTACCTCGATCGAACAAGGTCACACTGAAACTGTACTACATACTATACGTGCTTGGACACAAAACACAATCTCGCCCACGGTGGCACTGATGCTGCTCGCCCGAAGCCCGCGTTCACTCAGCAACAAACTCTTGAACCTATCGCACGCCCTCAAAACTATTTCTCTCAGCTTGCCAGTGGGGCCGAGGCAGGTGCTGCTGGGTACATTGCTGCTGGTTATGAGTGATTCGCGAAATAACAATGCAACAAACAACAACAACGTCCAAAGACGCACCGCCAAGGCAGCGATGTGGTCGACCCCCGACCCTTCCAATGACGCCACTATCTCTTCCGGGTGGAACCGTACGGCGTCCTGGTCCAGCCTCGCCGCCTCAACCAGGTCCGCTTTGGGTAGGCCTTTCGACACCATGTGCTCCTTCCAGGACTTGAAAAGTAGCAAAAAAGGATTTGGCCGATGGTAGATTCATGAATACCTCCGAAACGTTCGAATGCACGGGGGTTGGTTCCTCCCAATTGGAACCTGTTAGTTCTTGCATCAGGGCTAGCGAGGCCCTGCCATAAGGTGCGTCTCCTGCTAACATGACTGGACGAGTCCGCCAGAATTGACTCCTCCACACAACTGCTCACAAGAAAAAAGGTGCACCCGCAAGTGTACAGCACGGCAAAGCGTGGCAATGGCGTTCCTCCATAAACGCGGAAACGAAGGAGGACAGGATATCACTCGGGGGTGGGCAAACCGCTAGCACAGCCTGTTGGAGCATGTTTTTCCTGCATGCGGGTAGCCAAATCAGCCACTTCTGGGGTGCGTCATAGTGCCATGTACAAACGTAGCGGTGGCGAAACCAAAGAACGACTGAGATCTCTACGAATGTTCCCGTCCAGGCCACCAATACTATCATTGCTCGCAGCATCCACCCATATCATTTCGCCGCCCTTGCCTTCTCTGCGGGAGGAGATTTCTACAATCTTGCAACAGCGGGCCCTAAAAAACGGCATGTTCCCGGAGAATCGACCGGCTCTATTGAGAGTACAGCATGACTTGGTGATTCAGTCTGTGCCCAGCAATTTCACCGGCTCTACATAGGGCCACCGGCGCTATTCAACCGGCGTTGTTGTTAAAGGCCCACTAGTGTAGAACGATCCTGGGCTCGGTCCCACACGAGAAAATTGCTCGGCCGCCGAACGGTTTTCGCTCAACCGAATCCCCGTCTCTCCAAGCCAGGCTCGCAGTTAAAGAAACGCTTCGTTCAAGAAACAGCAGAGGCTAAAAACGCTTCCCGATAGTGAAGAATATAGGTCGAAGAATCACACCTCAGCGGTGGATCCTCCACCAAACTGTGGCGACGGAGCAATGAGAAGTTGAGCCTGAGCCTCTGCCGAATTTCAACGGTTCTTGTACCCGGACCCCGGTGCCCCTTGTCGCCCCTACTCACCTCCGCCGAGGGGAAGGTGCAAAGATGCGGCATAGGCTTGAAAAGGCAGTCCCAGCCCGCCTGAGCCTCTCCCCCGCTCTCCTCCTCGCAGTCCACCTGTTTCATCTGGTTTTCGTCCACGACCACGGTCATGTCGCTCCACTTCTCCACTGAGAGGGCGTACACCCACGCGTTCAGCATGTCTGAGAATTTGTCGACCCCAGACACAGGAGGCGTAACACGTGGGGTGTGGGTGCGATGGAGGGCCGGCGGTGGCAGAGAAAGAGTGGCCGGCAATCTGTACAAGCAGGCTAGTAGACATGATGACTCAGCAACGGAAACAGCTAAACGAGAGGAAAATATCCGAGCCAGCAAAAAAGGGTGTGGCGAATTTTTGCCTCCGATCATGATCGGTGTGTGTCCTGTATTCCGACAGCATGATGCACCCCCCGACATGAAGGCAGGTAATGCCATTCCAACCACGTCCAAAGTAGACCAAGATCATCTTCTCAGAGAGCAATCAAGGGTTCACGCCCGTGGCAAGTCCATCCCGCTCTCGCTCCCACTCACTGTTCACGTTGCTGCCCAAGCCATGCCCCCTCCACATGAAGCTCCCACGGGCCAGGTCGCAACCTGCCTCCCCCCGCGCGTACTCCGCCGCCCACTCCGAGGAAAACAGCACCGCCGGCGCGGTCGCCGCCGCTGCTGCTGATTCCCCGCCTTCCGATCCGTCAGCGGTGTTCACCCGCGATTCGTCACCAACGTCCAGCTCCAAAGAGAGGGCGGGCGTCTCCAAACCATCCTCCGCCTCTGCGACCGCGCCACGGACGTAGCTACTACATCTCCCGAGCATGACCAGCACCACCGACGCCCGCAGCGCCGCCGCTGGTGTTCCGCCGACACGGCGGGGCCGCCCCCCGCGGCGGACGGTTCTGGCTTTTTCGTTCCTGTCGGAGGAGTCCGCCATCATCGCCAGCATTCCCTGTCTGCGGCGGGCGGCGGGACGCCGAAGGCGAGGGTGGCGGGGTTGTGGAATTGTGGGCGTGATGTTAAGCAGGGCAGGAAAACTGACCAGCGGGACGAGGGACTTGCGCCCCGGGGAATCGAGGGAAGGGTTTCGATATCGTCTGGGGACGATATTCGTTATGTACAAGTAATTAAGCCCGTAAAGATCAGCATCCCATACCAACGTATGCTCAGCGATATTTACAGGGTACTGTTAATAGTAATAGGGCCGCCTCCCCTGAGGAGAGGGCGCGGTTGCCAAGCAATGACAACCGCTCTTCAACACCTTTTTCTAAAACACGGCAAACTTCTTCTGTTTCGTTAATATTTCCTTCCAAGTGTACGTACCCACGAACGAGCGTCTTCCACAACCATGTAGTGTTTCGAAAGTTTATATCACCCCTTCGAGCAACATACGGTGACATCTCCCCTGTGGGTATCAGTCTCAACACAGGCAGATTGTTGCCCACCTTGTGATTGCAACGTGCTCCGATAGTTGTTGTTGTCTTCACATTAACAGCCGTTCCGACCCCCTAATCCACAACCTCCCTTTGTTCGTACTGATCTTACACTTGACGCGGTCGATTCCCGTGGCCACAGGCTAACTTCCCCCTACCACGGGCGTACTCAAATGAAATGGACCCGAAGGATCAGCAAGCCAATACAAATCAGCAACAGATTGCCTATTATAGAGCCCTCCGCTCGCCTCTACACGCTATGTGAGGTACGAAGGAAAGTAAAGTCAACATCACGGATCAGAAAGAGAGAAGGCCATCTGGACAAGAAAAGAAAAAAAGAAAAAGAAAAATGAAAAGGAGAACATGTACACCTTCGCTGTAATGAAGTGACAGAAGAAAAAGACAGGCGAGGGAACGGCCTCTCTATATGGAGGGCAAATATTAATATTGTCCTTTTCGGCCTTTTGGGCAGTCTGCTTCCCGAACGAATGCGAACCAGCTGTTCGACCTTCGAGAATAGTCACAGCTTTGACTGAATGTCTGCCGATCGCCGGTTTGATTCGCCAGGTTCACATTTGATATTTTCAATATGTGCACAAGATTTTTCAACACAGCTCCTTCTCTTATCTTGGCCCAAGATTTGCTCCGCGGTGGCTTTTCGGCTGAACCTTCGACAAATTTTGCTCATCTTGCTCATCAGGAAAAAAAATCAAACGTGGACCCTGGCGAAACGATCTGTAGACATCTCAACCAAAGCTTAGACATCTCAAGCAAAGCTGTGACTATTCTCGAAGGTCGAATAGCTGATTCGCATTCGTTCGGGAAGCAGACTGCCCAAAAGGCCGAAGATAAGATTTGCCAAAAGGAAGATAAAGATTTGCTCCCCGTAAGGAAAAGGCCGAACGGGAGGGGTGTTTTTCTTTATTGGCTTTCGGCGCACGGTGCGGACGTAGTTGTCTGTTGTGCGGACATGTACTGCTGTTGTAGCATGGAAGATTGAACTTGGGAATTGGCTTTCGCTTTTGAACTCAACCACGGATAGAAATAGAAAAAAAAAATCAGGGACAAGTACCATCTAGGGAATACTTACCGCAAACGTCGGAGTTTTCCCCCCCCAGTAGAGTTTTCCCCCCTCCCCCCATTACCTTTTACTGCCTGGAAGCATGGTTTCTTTGGTTTGGCCCCGGGGTAGATCGTTTTCGACCAAAAAATCAAGATCCCCCCGGGTATTTCAATTTCCTCCCAGAAACCAGTTTTCCCACGAGTTCCCCTCGGGGGGGATGCATTTCTTTTCTGGGTCGATTTTGTTGCATCGCGGAGCACAAAAAGCATGATGTGGGACGGAAAAATCATTTGCAGATCTACACTTCCCGGTCGCCCCGGTGGTCTAGTGGGTAGCCTCGCAGCCTGCTAAGGGCCAGGTCATGGGTTCGAGTCCCGACAGAGAGAGTTTTTTACCTCACTAAATAAATCCTGGTCTAGGATGAAAGCGACGCGCTGCAAAGCTCGGTTGTTAGTAAACCACAATCGACTTCGTAAGTCGCGAGGGAAGGGATTGCTGTACCCTTCTCGCGATAAAAATACCTCAGGCATGAACCGCAGGAGGGGGTCCAACCCCCCCCTCCTATGTGACCCCGGTTGGGTCGTCTAGCTAGTAGAAGTGGAGGATAGGGGCCAGAGGGGCAGACGACAGAGTCCAATGATGGGAGAAAAACAAACAAA